GAGAGAGAGAGAGAGAGAGAGAGAGAGAGAGAGAGAGAGAGAGAGACCATGAAATAACCGCTAAGTAGATTTGATGACGAGTTTTTGTTGTGAGGAGAACTCTCCGCAGTGTGGCGGCACAGAGTCGACACAACCAGCAGCAACACAAACGAAGAAGACTGCACAGGAAGTGGGGATAGCAGGATTGTTGACATAGCCTGCTAGCTTTTGCTAGGTGGCATGATATTTTGTCGATAATTTTCTAAAGTTTTCGTTCACAATGAGCTCTCCAGAGGACAGGCATGGAACAAAACGATCGGCGTCTCCCAGTCAAGTGAGTAAAACGCTTAAAAACGAAACTAGCCCTGGGCGAGAGCTACGAACCACCAGGGAACGGCAAGCGTCGCTGTAGCAGGTTTGCTAACGTTGGGATTCAAAGCGTGATTGTTAGAATAGGAAAGTTTATTGAACTCATCCCCCTTTTTAGGATGACTCAAAACTATATTACATGAACTACGATATAATATTTACTATGTTTTCTCTGTGTTTTGGCCCGAATGTAAGCAGATAATATTTACTTATGTATTTTATTTAGATATTAAAGTCACTGTGGTGTCAGTGTTGGGTAATTATCATTTTGTGCATATATAAAAAAAAAAAGAAGTTATGACACATTTATTGCTGTCGATGGAGATACGTGTAAATGACCACTATTTGAACCTGATTTTAATTACTATTATTGATAAATAACACATGCAACATTGCGCTGTTTTACAGAATAAATCCCTTACAAAAAAATAAATTTTAAAAAATGAAACATGCAAAAGACGAGACGATAATAGAATATAAAATTAAAAGAATGAAACATTAGAATTTCCCCTTTCACTGGTACAAAGCGTGTTACAGAAATGTCTGAGTGAACAGAGATGAGTTTAGGTTCACAGGAACCTCAGTGGTGCAGCAAGAGCATTTTATAAAAAAGCTGCAAAATCCCAAAATAATGACGCTGTAGTGATATAAGGCCATGTTTGTCTATGAGTAACAACCTCAGCCATCAAATGCTTTGCATCTTTTCTTGAAAAGTAGCTTAAATTGCAACAAACAGGAAATGCTTCAGGCATCATGCTAATAAACTAAACTAATGAAAACAGGACTGAAAGCAGGATTGCAGATAAAGCACAACTTAACTCATATTTAATGAACAAAAAAAACCAAAACAGGTGAGTTGAGGTGTGGTCAGAAAAGTGGAAGTCTAGCCCTGCTGATCAGAAACATTTATGACTGTTTCAAAATAATCTTTCTTTTTTCTTTTTTCTTTTTTTTTTTTTTTAAAATAATTTTTTTTTTTTTTTTTTTTTTTTTTTTTTTTTTTAAAGATAATGATATCAGAATCATGTTTTTGACTCTGTCTGGCTCTTGATGCTCTTGTTTGAACATCCACATGATGAGTGTTTGCCTTTGCAGGATGGGGGTACACAGTGGGCCTCTGCTGATTTGGGAAGCGATGAGAGAAAGCAAAAGTTTTTACGGCTGATGGGCGCGGGCAAGGTTTGTTTGTGTTTTGATTCATTTCATTGGAGACTCACAGACCAAAGCAAAGTAAAAATAGGCCCTGTTACTTCATGCTTCACTGCCTGAAGTTGTGACAGTTAAGGTAAAGTGGGACTGTTGCTGTTTTACAGAAAGAACACACTGGGCGTCTTGTCATTGGTGACCACAAGTCAACATCTCACTTCCGCAGTGGTAAGCTTGTTATTTAGTTTTTGGAAAATGTGGTATTTGCTCTGCTTTTGCAAACTGTCATCCTGCACCTCTCACACATGCTGTGTCATCCTTACGCCCAAAACAATTAAATCCGCTTCGCTACCACACATCCGCCGCACAGGTCTATCCATTCTTGGATAGAGCTGTACTGGCTGGTTGTGCCTGCTGTGACTGGTGTCTCCTCTGCAGGTCAGGAAGATCAGAAGATCAATGAGCAGCTGGAGCTGCAGTACCAGCAGGGAATGGATGGGAAGTTGTCAGGACGCAACCGGAGACATTGTGGTCTGGGTTTCAGTGAGGTGAGGGGTCATACATGCTAGACTATATAGAAAAAAGGCAGAAAACAAAGGTGCAGTAGATCCAGGAACACTTACTTTTAATTATAACTGGATGTTATGCTAAATCCTTTAATTTATTATGTGCGCATCCTGTAAAATCTACATATCTTTTTTTCACTGTCTAAGCATAAAAACGTATTGAAACCAACCTTAGAGCCACAGAGGGATGCAGTTAGTATGTTACTGTTATTACTTCAGTGCCAATACCCAATGAGTCCCAGCCCTAATTTGCACTCGAAGGAGATGCTCAGTGTTATTCACGTCAGTAGTCAGTGGTTATTATGATGTGGATGACTGGTGTAGTAAGCTGTGTTAAGATACAATACAGCTGCATATCAGAAGCATCTTGTTTCAAACTGGTTAGTTTGCTATTCTTCTGAATCTCAGATGACAAAACAGGCAAGGCTTTGGATGACTCAAATCATTTTTAAGTGACATGAAATCAAATGATTTGTCATTCATGTTTGGTTTAAAACTGCAGCTTGATGAAGATACCAAGCATCCAAATTGTAATACTTTAAATACTTTAGACTTTAAGATTTGACAGATTTGGAGGTAACTCTGTATTTCTTTTCATGTAAATGTTTACATTCCTAAATTGCATTTAAAGTTTTTGAACTACAACTCTCCATTTTAATTGGGAAACCATATTTTGCATCCATATTGCATTGCTGATAATAATTTGTGACAAAACTTCAGCAACATGATGACAATCACAGTGTTTTTTTTAATGGAAATTTGGGGTTTTGATTTGGCAGAAATATCTGCCAAATTGCAGGCACATCTGTTTACACTCTGGACTTTTAGGATATTTTGTTACCAGGCAACCTGCTT